ACTCCCCCTTTATTTATACTGAACATTTTTAATAATATTTTCTTTTGACACACGTACTCCCATGAATTATTTTACTTAACTTATTATTTGCAATTGAATTTTATTTAAATTATAATTTTGTATATAATTTACAACATTTCAATTACGTTTTGAATTGTACTTCAGCGGTATCTCTCTCTCTGTGTGTGGGTCATTGGGTTGATACTACAAATTATTTACATTAAGTTTCTATATATTTTTTCTTATTTTAATTTATTAACTTTTTTTGTATACACTTCTATGAGTATTTTTATTTTCACACCACTTTAAATGATAACAAGTGTTGCAAGTGGGCGTTAAAATCGTAACAAGTGTCCTTCAAAAGTCTTGTCAGAGATATAGACACAAAAAAATTGAAATGAAATATTAAAAAAAAACAATTGACAAGAGACAACATTTGAGAGTAAGTGCCAAATATTTTTGTTGGAAATAACAAATTAAGGTGTTTTTTCTGGTAAAGCCCAAAATTTAATAACATATTCAAATCGCACCACACATGACGAGTGCTTTATGAAATATGTTAATTGAATTTTTAATTTGATATCAATAAATACATGCTATTAATTTGAAGTCAACTTTGTAGGTATTAGAGCAGTTACATATAGACTAAAGGCCTTATTCATGATGATATTATTTGCTTATTAAGCTCTTTTTTCCATAAAAAAATTCGTACTATAAACCATCAATAACTTGATTTAGCGTTTATGAATACGGGGGTGAAACAGTAATTCTCAAACTAATAGGACAATACAAGTCCGACATTCTTAATATGTCGTATACTAAAGTATACGTCTCTAAAGGATTGAGTTGTGTTTGAAAAAAAAACTGTTTTAAGACGTTATAACATCACCAATACAACTTAATTTATAGGTGAAGATATCTGGAATATAGCAAATATGTCAGATATTACGCCTTTATTCAATACCAGATAGAATGGACTTGGATGGATGGCATACAGCATTTTATAAATAAAATTTGTCTTAGCACTGATATAACGTCTCTTTGTGGCTGTCAGGAGGAAACCTCAGAACATATATTGTGCAATTTTCCAATACTAAGGACTCGTCGAGAAAGAATATTAAGTGCTGCAATACTAGCCTCGAAGGATATATTCAACCTTCACCATTCAAATCTGTTATTTTCTTACGTGAATTAAACCTGTTATGGTGAACCAATGGGCTGCACAAAAGATCCTAAATAGGGTCGCAGTGCTTAGGGCTCTCTCTAATTTAAATCTAACGTTTAAATTTTTTTCAAATTTCTGGAGATATCTCAAGATATCTCAAAACCCTGATGTAGTAAACAAAGTCTGAGCTTAGATTCAGCGCAGATCAATCCTTTAGAGAAGTATAACTTGGTGTAAAAGTTTCGAATTATGGCGGCCTGTGTTATACTTACTAATACCCTAAACCACTTTATTGGAGTGGGAATATTGGGTTTGTGGTGATGTTTATAATACACAATATTATTGGTCATATATCAACCTTAGAGTATACCAACCGGGTTTGAATAATTTTCTTCGCCGATTTAGCTATGTCCGTTCGTCTGTTTTTTGAAGATAATTCAATGGAATTTGATACATGATTTTATATTGTATCAGGGTCAATTTTTTAATCTTGCATGTATACAACTGAACTCCTCGAATAGTGTTTTTGTGCTTATAATTATGTTTAATATAATCGTACCTCGACAAAAAGCAGCACAACTAAATTTCATTCTTGTTATATCCAACACCACGTTAGTGGGGATTATCGGCTCATAATCAATTTCTGAATCTATGTCCATTTGTCTGTTCGTCCGTGTAAACTTTGTAATCAAACTACAGAACGGAATTTTCAAGATAATTTGTTCAAATTTGTTACGAAGAAGAACGAAGCCTATTCAAAATGGTTAAAATCGGTTAATTATTTGACCTAGTACCCATATAACCGTACCCCCAAATAACGTCCATAATTATGTTAAATGTTCTAGTTCTCTAAAATAAATATCTAAACTTTGTTTTGTATAAATCTAAATAATACTGCTGATTTTCGTAAGAACCAGGCCTCATCTGACTTTAGGCCTCATACAAAGACCCCTTCAGAAAATGAATCTAAGATCAATAATTCATATAAGCACTAGTATTTCGATGAAATTCTGCATAAATATTTGTAAACAAATTGTTAAAATACTGTGGAATTAAGGAAAAAACTGCTTAAACATTCTCCACTGTAAAGTTGGTTAGAGACCATAATCTAAAACCTTTAACAAAATTCATGAGAAGTGTTCCATAATAACTCATCAAATTTTGTAATCTTAGCTGCATAACTGACCTGATGCCGCATCTAGAGTGTACTCGAACAACAACAACAATAAATCTACTATTAATATCTGTAGTGTTATTATATTCGATACTAGTGAGTGTAATACTAACATTATTCACTCTAATAAATTCTGTGAAGAATTTGGTCCATACTGGACTCTCTGATGTAGGCGGCTAAGACCGTCAACTAATTACAAAATATTCAACTAATGTCTATAACGTGAGATCGATTTCTTTGCTTGTCCATTTGAATTGAGTTTGAGTTAGCCTAGTATGGCACTAGATCCAAAAAGACCAATTCTCATTGAATTAAAATTTATACCATAGAACTCTTTAGTGAAGACTTTAAAAATATTTGTAATATAATAACGTTAAAGTAAACCAATCGAAGCCAGTATTCCAAATATCCCAGATTTTGAATGACACTTTTGAAATGTTCAAAACTTCCATGGACAATATGACATTTTCCAGTGTCTAAAATTAAGAACAGGAACACCTGCGCAAAATCAATTAGAAATTATAAATAGGTAAGAATGTACAGTCGGGCATGGCCGATACCCTACACCAGTGCGTATGTTAAAAATGTGGATTATTTTATAATAATAAAATAAAAGCACTTTAACTCCGAAATATTTTAACAATTTATTGACAAAAAAAAAATTTACCAAAATAGTAGTTATATTGGGGGCAAGGGTAAATATGGATCTATCCCATTTTGGTAGAGGGATTTACGTTTACATTACATAGTTATTTCTGAAGAATTTAATCGAGATACTAGTGTTTATAAGTGAATTTCAAGTGATTTTCCGAAGGGGACTTTGTATGGGGACTAGGGTCAAATATGGACAGATCATAACGAAAATCAGGTGTATATTTTAGACGTATATAAAACCACGTTATGCCGATTTTCTGGATATACTAGAACATTTAACACAATTATGAGCTCAAAAGCCCTATTCGTGGGGTACGGCTGTATGGCGGCTAGGCGAAATAATGTATCGATTATAACCATTTTCAATAGGCTTCGTCCCTGGATCGAAAATATTATGTACCAAATTTCATCAAATTATCTCGAAAATTGCGACCTGTAGCGTTCGCACAAGGTTTACATGGAAACACAGACGGACAGACAGGCAGACAGGCAGACAGACAGACAGACAGACAGACAGACAGACAGACAGACAGACAGACAGACAGACAGACAGACAGACAGACAGACAGACAGACAGACAGACAGACAGACAGACAGACAGACGGACAAACAGGCAGACAGACATACAGACAGACGGACAGATAGACGGACATAGTCTCGACTCAGAAAGTGATCCTGAACCGATTGGTATACTTTAAGGTGGGTATAGGACCAATATTTTTGAGTGTTACAACCATCAGCACAAGTGCGTAATATCCTCCCCACTATAGTGGTGTAGGATATAAACAGATGAAACTCATAAAATTTATCATAATTAAAATCAAAATATCCTTCTAATAACTGATACTTTTGTTACGAAAACGTTTAAAGTTTTTAAATCTGAATATTTTTGTAAATGTTGTTAAAACTCTCAATACTGGACAGGACCACACAAGCTTAACGATGTTTCCTAATGCAGTTAACTACTGCAACTAAACATAGGCCCATTTGAAGACAAACAATTTAAAACTTTTTCTATTACAAACAGTGATTACATATCTAAACACTATATATATCAAATACATAAAAATCATGATTTATTTGATGTTTTGCATATAAACTACTACATAATTGTTGTTTAGCAGTTTTTAACAATAAACTTAATATAGTAATATAGTTTATGGTAACAAATACACCAAGTAAATATAAATTATTAAATATAAAATTGAATATTGAAAAGTATGTCAAAACTTTATTTAAATATAGCCAAATAATGAATAAATTGCAACATTATTATTAATAGTTTTTTATGTTTGTTATTGTTTTTAAATAATAATTAAAACAAAAAAAAAAAATAAGTAAGTTACCCTGTAAGTGTGGACAGGAAATACCTAGTTACCTCATAAAGGGCTTAACTATGTGACCTTAAACATTTTAAAATGCCTTTGTAATAATTAATTAACTTGTTTTTCTATTTGAAAATAATTATGAAATTTAAGCTTAGATAATCGTTTATATTTATTACTAACAATTGTTTAAGTTTATTGACTTGTCGCCGTTGTTATTAGTTTAAAAAAAACCTAAATAAAAATTGGCTTTCTTTGGTGACGTTATGTTTAAATCGCCGCTGCCAATGTCCAAATTAAAAGACACACACATAAAATATTTTAAATTCATAAAGACGTTGTCAGCAGTAGTTTTTTGAATTTTGCATGAATTTATTGGATTTTCTAATTAATTATGCTGCCCACATAATTGAAACGTACTTTATATCACTTTCATTGTAATTTCAGTTTCAATTTTGTTGCAATGAATTTATTATTATTTTAGGTTTTAAATTTCGTATTTGGTTTGGTTAATATAAGAAAATCAGCTGTTTTCATTTACCGTTTTATACATATTACATATTATTAATTGAGGGAAGAGGTTTTGGTGGGGGGTTTAGGAGTGATTTTTGTAATTGAACAAGACAAAATTTTTTAGTATAAAATACTGAAGGTGCTTCTGGTTAGACATCAGTTCAGTACTTAGCGTCAAACAACAAAGAGTTCGTTCAAAGTTTATTTGTAACTTTTTTTAATTGGGATTATATATCTAAGTGTGAAATCGTAGAAATGAAGGTACGATATAAAAATCATAAAAAATATAAATATTTGAATGAAATCCTTTTGAAATCAAGTGAAATAGTTTAAACAATTCCGGTGAATCTAATAATAATAGCAATACACATTAAAGTATAGCCAATTGGTTAAATTAAAGTGAAAATTATATATTTCCTGAAAGATTGGATTAATAACATCTGAAACTGCCTTTAAAACGCCATGAAACTATTAAGTACATGTTTAGCAACATTGTTGATAATATTGAGTGCAACATAAGGCAAATTGCTATAAGCCTAACCACAAAAAAACTAGTGCATACTTTTGGTTGTTCACAGCAACTACACATCTCTAGCAACATTATACAAAGAATGTCGTTTAATCTATCAATCACTGTTTTATTTGTAATGTTTACAAACATGTTAACAAATTCACTTGTAAAAACCATTGCATACTTTTCAAAACTAATTCCCACAAAAATCACAAATCTTTAAAAGGAAATACAACTGAATCTTTATATAGTTCTTTAGCAATACAAATATGTTGCTATATTTTAAACTATTAGCTACTATGTTAACCCAACTAAGATAACTCGAAACCAAGGAACATTGTTAGCAACAATGTTGATAAAACAAAAAACAAAAAAACTACAAATTCTTAACCAAATTTACAATTATCAATATAAACAAAATTCTAACACTTCTCCCCTCAACTCCTATACTCCCCCATTTTCGAACAACAGGTCTTCGTTTGCATTTTGGCTCTCGCCTTGGCTTCTGCCCAAGCTGGTCTTTTGCCTCATCATGCCAATGAAGTGGTAGTATCACCTCACCACCACATTGAACATGCCATCCATCACGATGACATCCATCATGATGTTCATCACGATGTTCATCACAGCAATGGCATACACTTTGGACACTCGGCTCAGATTGTAATTGATGGTTCGGAACATCATGCCGTCGAACACCACCCCGTCTATCATCATGCTGATCATCATGCCGCCGTTGAGGTACATCACGATGATCACCATGTCCATCATGCTGCTCCAGCTGCTCAGATTATCCATCATGAACCCATCCACAAGGTTGAACCCGTCCACCATGTTACCAAAGTTGTACACCATGAACCTCACCACTTCTTGCACTACACCAACCCCGTTGTAGATCATCATGTTGTCCACCAAAACCATCATGTTGATGAACACCACCATGCTGATGATTTGCACCACACTGAATTGCACCATGGTGATGCCCACCATCACGGTGATTTGCACGCTGATGTTCACCACAATGCTGTCGGTTTGGTTCACCACGGTGATGTTCACCATGCTGCTGGTTTGGTTCACCATGCTGATGTCCACCACCACTCTGGTTTAGTCCATCACGCTGATGTCCACCATCACTCCGGTTTGGTCCATCATGCCGATGTCCACCATCACTCCGGTTTAGTCCATCACGGCGATGTTCACCATCACGCTGCTTTGGTCCATCATTCCGTTCCTGCTGTCCACCACCATGCCGCCATTGTCCACAAAGTCTACCCTTCCCATCACACTCATGCTGATATCTTAGCCATTGCTAAACATCATTTGCATGGCAAATATGGCAAGGTGAAAATTACCGAAAAACATTACTAAACGATTTCATTCCCACAAACCCCCCCACGCTTCTACGCCCTTTCGTAAGGCACCTTAAAACAAATCTATTCTATTTGCATTACATTTATTCATTCAAAACAAAACATAATTAAACCAAAATTAACGCTTTTCATAGCTATAATTTATTAAACGAACGAACTCTCATGATCACATAAATGCATAAATTTTATGATCATTCATATCATCCATAACTCTTCTTTACATCCCTCCAGGAGTCGTTAATTAGTTGAATCATTTGAAATTTTTATTTAGTTTTTAAGTTTTATTGTTGCTTGTTATTACTCTCACAGTGTTAAAATTCGATAAAAAAAACCCATTCAACACACAAGATGTAAATATTATAGTACAATAAAAAAATAAATTATAATTGAAAAAATATACTCACTACTTCTTAATTATTTCTAAAAAATAAGGACATACAATGATAAATCATTAAAAATCTGCTTAAGATCAACTTTCATTAGTTTTATGAAGATTATTCATTATGATTGATCTCACATTAGAAATATTTAAAAAGCTTTGGTAAAACCTTTAAGTTCTAGTTCAGTTCTAATTCGGTTCTAGTTCAGTTCTAGTTCAGTTCTAGTTCAGTTCAGTTCTAGTACCGTTCTAGTTCAGTTCTAGTTCAGTTCTAATTCGTTCTAGTTCAGTTCTAGTTCAGTTCTAGTTCAGTTCTAGTTCAGTTCTAGTTCAGTTCTAGTAGTTCTAGTTCAGTTCTAGTTCAGTTCTAGTTCAGTTCGTTCAGTTCAGTTCTAGTAGTTCTAGTTCAGTTCTAGTTCAGTTCTAGTTCAGTTCTAGTTCAGTTCTAGTTCAGTTCTAGTTCAGTTCTAGTTCAGTTCTAGTTCAGTTCTAGTTCAGTTCAGTTCAGTTCTAGTTCAGTTCTAGTTCAGTTCTAGTTCAGTTCTAGTTCAGTTCTAGTTCAGTTCTAGTTCAGTTCTAGTTCAGTTCTAGTTCAGTTCTAGTTCAGTTCTAGTTCAGTTCTAGTTCAGTTCTAGTTCAGTTCTAGTTCAGTTCTAGTTCAGTTCTAGTTCAGTTCTAGTTCAGTTCTAGTTCAGTTCTAGTTCAGTTCTAGTTCAGTTTAGTTCAGTTTAGTTCAGTTCTAGTTCAGTTCTAGTTCAGTTCTAGTTCAGTTCTAGTTCAGTTCTAGTTCAGTTCTAGTTCAGTTCTAGTTCAGTTCTAGTTCAGTTCTAGTTCAGTTCTAGTTCAGTTCTAGTTCAGTTCTAGTTCAGTTCTAGTTCAGTTTAGTTCAGTTCTAGTTCAGTTCTAGTTCAGTTCTAGTTCAGTTCTAGTTCAGTTCTAGTTCAGTTCTAGTTCAGTTCTAGTTCTGTTCGTTCAGTTCTAGTTCAGTTCTAGTTCAGTTCTAGTTCAGTTCTAGTTCAGTTCTAGTTCAGTTCTAGTTCAGTTCTAGTTCAGTTCATTCTAGTTCAGTTCTAGTTCAGTTCTAGTTCAGTTCTAGTTCAGTTCTAGTTCAGTTCTAGTTCAGTTTCGTTCAGTTCTAGTTCAGTTCTAGTTCAGTTCTAGTTCAGTTCTAGTTCAGTTTAGTTCAGTTCTAGTTCAGTTCTAGTTCAGTTCTAGTTCAGTTCTAGTTCAGTCTAGTTCAGTTCTACTTCAGTTCTAGTTCAGTTCTAGTTCAGTTCAGTTCAGTTCAGTTCTAGTCTAAGTTCTAGTCTAGTTCAGTTCTAGTTCAGTTCAGTTCTAGTTCAGTTCAGTTCTAGTCAGTTCAGTTTCTAGTTCAGTTCAGTTCTAGTTCAGTTCTAGTTCAGTTCTAGTTCAGTTCTAGTTCAGTTCTAGTTCAGTTCTAGTTCAGTTCTAGTTCAGTTCTAGTTCAGTTCTAGTTCAGTTCTAGTTCCGTTCTAGTTCCGTTCTAGTTCAGTTCTAGTTCAGTTCTAGTTCAGTTCTAGTTCATTTCAAGTTCAGTTATACTTTCCAAGTTTAACCCAGTACTTGCATTTTAAACCCTTACTTGGTAATGGGTATTTTAATAAGCAATTTATTACATATTCTTTATATTGATTGATAGCCCAATAACTATTTTTAATAAGTCCACTAGTATACACTACAGCAATTACAGGGTTTTAAAATAAAATTCTATTGACATTTTCATAAATTATACAAATGGTATTTAATGAGACGTAACTGTGGGAAACCAATATTTTTCCGTGTGGACATGAATTTTAAAATACTCAAATAAATACGATTACAACATGCTTGAGTATGTAATACACATGTAGTTTTAACGTTTCACTTTTTTCTCAACACACAGTGTGTCTTAGTGACTTTTTTGCACTTCAGGTACAATTTATTAGCCAAGTTTCTACAAGGCAATTGTAACCAAAAAGATGATTATGAAATGATAATGTTCTGTATTTTTATGTGAATGTTTTGAGAAAAGTGGAAAAAAACCTTAAACGTGAGATAACGCCTACAAATCTAAATGGTCATACATCAAGCAACGGGGGAGTTTATGACATTGTCACAGATAAAGTATGAAAAAAAACCAGGCAAGCAACACTTGCGTCCTCTAATATACAATAAAAAACTTAATTCAGCAAATCATTATGAACAATTACAACAAGCAAGTAACCAACTGTACGGCCAACAATAACAAGCAATTGCAATTGTAATACTTAATGTAACTCTGTTTAGAAGTAGAAGTATAGTACCTCTATTCGTGGTTGATAAAACGCGAAGTTCTGGTACACAGCAAAACACTTGGTGTACTTAATATTTTACCCAGCCTTGCTTTTTGGTACACCAGCTATCCATCCATCCAGTCTGCCTTGTGTGTTTTTGCGCATAGTGCGCATGCTTAACACGTGTCTGGCCTTAACTTAAACTTTTTAGATTGTACTTTTTTCTAGAGAGTTTCATTTAGCTCGTAATAGTTTCTTGAGGTTCACCCCTTGCTTATTTGTGTTTTTTTACTTCAATTGAATTGTGTTTTAGTTTTCGGTTTTAAGTTTGCAGGTGAATTTTGTTATTGTTGCTACTGTTGTAATAGTGAAGCACGTTTATTAAACTGGCGTTTTGTTGTTGGTTTCTGTAGCTGCTGTTTTAGCTGCCTTTGTTTTAAAAAGAGGGGGCATCGTAATAGTAGTAGTTGAAAATATAATGAACAATAATCGAAATACACTGCCCAACATTGTTTTAGTTAAAATGTAATGTTTCAATTTTGAAATTTCAACTAGTGCTGATTAGGATTTAAAACTAATCAGAACTGAACTAGAACTGAACTGGAACTAGAACTGGAACTGAACTAGAACTGAGCTGGAATTGAACTAGAACTGAACTAGAACTAAACTAGAACTGAACTAGAACTGAGCTAGAACTGAACTAGAACTGAACTAGAACTGAACTAGAACTGAACTAGAACTGAACTAGAACTGAACTAGAACTGAACTAGAACTGAACTAGAACTGAACTAGAACTGAACTAGAATTGAACTAGAACTGAACTAGAACTGAACTAGAACTGAAACTAGAACTGACTAGAACTGAACTAGAACTGAACTAGAACTGAACTAGAACTGAACTAAGACATGACACTAGAAACTGAACTAGAACTGAACTAGAACTGAACTAGAACTGAACTAGAACTGAACTAGAACTGACTAGATGAACTAGAACTGAACTAGAACTGAACTAGAACTGAACTAGAACTGAACTAGAACTGAACTAGAACTGAACTAGAACTGAACTAGAACTGAACTAGAACTGAACTAGAACTGAACTAAAACTGAACTAGAACTGAACTAGAACTGAACTAGAACTGAACTAGAACTGAACTAGAACTGAACTAGAACTGAACTAGAACTGAACTAGAACTGAACTAGAACTGAACTAGAACTGAACTAGAACTGAACTAGAACTGAACTAGAACTGAACTAGAACTGAACTAGAACTGAACTAGAACTGAACTAGAACTGAACTAGAACTGAACTAGAACTGAACTAGAACTGAACTAGAACTGAACTAGAACTGAACTAGAACTGAACTAGAACTGAACTAGAACTGAACTAGAACTGAACTAGAACTGAACTAGAACTGAACTAGAACTGAACTAGAACTGAACTAGAACTGAACTAGAACTGAACTAGAACTGAACTAGAACTGAACTAGAACTGAACTAGAACTGAACTAGAACTGAACTAGAACTGAACTAGAACTGAACTAGAACTGAACTAGAACTGAACTAGAACTGAACTAGAACTGAACTAGAACTGAACTAGAACTGAACAGACTGAACTAAAACTGAACTAGAACTGAACTAGAACTGATCTAGAACTGAACTAGAACTAGAAATTTGTTTAAACACAAATATAAGTATGGTATCAAAATTCCGTAATTAAAAAATCATATTATTTTCCTCAGTGTATTTATATAAGCTTCAGTAGCCCTCATTGGGCTTTTTATTCAACCGCACTTAATAGCAATAATACAATGGAGCAGAAAAAAAAAACAACAAAATAACAACAAACAAGTGGCTAATGATACATAAATGCTTTTGGGGAGAATTCGCGTGATATTCTCATTTATTGAACCGTAGGTATAAATAACAACAACTGAAGAATAAGCGGCTGCTGGTATATCAGCTACAAAAGTCAGAACAAACAATATGCTACAATAGCAGCAGCAATAACAGAAAATAGCACCATCTTCACTTAGGGGATAAAGAGATGATCACAAATCTAGACATAGTTTAAATGAACAACAACAAAAAATCACCAACAACTGCCTCAAGTGTTGGCGGTCCAAAAAATAAAAAAGAATACAAGAAATAGCAAAAACAGTAGCCAAACAAACGTAACAAAGTTTATACAAATAAACAACTACTGGAAGGAGGCAGCGAAAAGGCGCTGGCAAAGTCACATACCAGAACAAAATTTTAGCAAAAAGAAAAACTAAGATTCTTCAACTACACGACATCGGCCAGGTATAAGAAGCTGTAATAGTTAAGCAGAAACCAATGAAATTTTAAGATTTTTTTAGTTTTTTTATTTTTTTTTAATACACTTTGGAAATAAAAAT